AGTCGCCCTGAACTGTTTAAGTATCCCAACTTTATACAATTGTCTGCACTTAGTCTTTTGAGATAGCATATAACTGAACCGATCATCTTTAGCTTAAGATTTAGTCGGCCCCTTCGTACCACAAGTTTATTCTTAATTAGTACTCTCTTCAATTGGTGATAAGCTATAGTCAGACCACCCAAACTTGTGGAACCCTGTCTGACTAAAATATTCATAAGTAATGTAGTAATAAAATATAGCCAAGTTATAACCTTTTGGTTCCAACATGTGCGTGGCATTGGACCAAGACCACCCAAACTTTTGGAACATGTCTTGGTTCTCAGTCTGGTTCATTTCTCTTAAAACCAAAGCAGGAAGAGGTTGAGCCCCCCAAACTTATGGAACATGCTCAGACCTCCTTGTTCAAAAACTAAAGAAACTGAAGGAAACCCAAATTAAACAAGGCGACCAAGCCACCCAAACTTATGGAACATGCTTGGTCCCTGAAAAGTCATTCACAGTCAGCCCTCACAAGTCAGAGAAACCAGACCACCCAAACTTATAGAACATGTCTGGTTCTCCAGGCAATTCAAAATAAACATAGCACTGGGTCTCCCCAAACCTTTGGAGACTTGCCCAGCCTTTGGTTAACCCAATCAGACACAAGCAATACAACCTTTCTCCCATCCTTCCCCAGATGCAATCCCATAATCTACTTTCAGTCAAACAATTAAAACTGAAACTGACATTGCACATGCATTTCTTTACTTGGTCTCGTTTGTGTCCTGAAAGTCAAAATGAAAAGTCAAAGTCGGAATACACACGATATACTCAGTTAAAAATAGCAAGGGGTGCAGTTAAGGGTTATAAATGGGCTTATAGAAGAAGATGAAAGGTTACCTCTCAGTTCCCTGCCTCCAGAACTCCTGAGTTCCGGCAGAGCTCCCTCAATCGGTGGGTTGACTCCCCTCAGAGTCTTGCTGCGGTCCTACGGGTTGCAATCCCGCTTGCCGCCTTCCCCTCTGAACAGGACTAGACGTAGAGTAAGAAAGGCAGAAGAAAAGGGGTTTCAGACTCTCGAGATACAGGAGAGGGACTGACTCAACTCTCAGGAGAGGGCCTTGATATCTTCAAGCGTCTGAGGGCCCCACAATGATGGCCAAACAGCCTCATCTTGATCAAAGTTGAAGTCAAACCGCCGAAGTCAAACCGTCGAAGTCAACCCTCTGACGCCCCCCCCCCCCAACGTTGCAGTGATGGCCCCCCCCCCCCCCCCTTTTTTACAAAACTTGACTACTTCTCTGAGTCCCCGTGCTCCTCCCTAGATCAGTCATCCATACTCAGCATGTCGAAGCGGAGGTAACTTCACAATATCCTCAACAAAATATCGCCCGCACGACACTCATGCGCAATTGTAAAATATTGTGGTAGTGTACAATACTTAGTACCATTGTGCCTTCACACCGTGCACGGCGATGCACGGTGAATAGCAACAGCTGCAACACGATGGAACAACTGGCATAAAGGGCGAAGAGTGATGATGGCGCCGCAGTAAGCTCACATGCCAGTCATCTCTTCCTCACGCAGTAGCAATAGCCCTGCACCAGCTAAGCACCTCGTTTACCCTCTGTAGCTGGCCTATTGTTGCTCGTTCACCCGCGAGCGATGCTGTCGACTATCGAGTGAGCCAGCATCTCGCAGCTTGTCCTTCCCCCAGTCACCCCGTTCAACAGTTGCAGCCCAACAAGCTATAGCAGGTCGGTGTCTGGGTCGCCCGTCACCTCAGTTTGATAAACTAGTCAACGCATCGTCTTCCAACAAGGCTCCGAGCCCTCCGCGAGGTTCATGCTACCTCGCCCAACATGATGAGCAAAGCATCGGCCAAAACAAGTAGATCTCCAAACCGCGGTTGACCTCCCGCCACTTCATCGATCGGATGAGCAGGACCAAATGAATCTTTCGCTCGAATGAGGAACTGTACATCGCCACACTCGTAGCCTCGACAAGCCTCCAACCTCGCGACTGACCTTATGCCTCGCTATGCTTCACCGATAGGATACGCATCACACAGGCGGCAGGGAAGCGGCCCGGAAGCCTTCTCTTCGCGCCTACCGCACACTTCTCCTATCGATGGATGGGCAACGTGCCACCGCCAGGTAAGTCTCCGGCATCTCGTGGCTGGCCTCACGCCGATTCCATCGGTAGGATGAGCAAATCGGACGAATGTTCTGCCAGAACGTGGACACATACGCGCTCAACTTTGCCTCTGCCTTCTTTCATAGCTCACCACACAGCCCTTTCTCTTCCTATCTTCTATTCTACTAACTTTCATCTAAAACTAACTTCATAATCCTACTCGCCCGACCTTAAAACCCCGATTTCGACTCCCAATTTGATGAAATTGGTCAAGATATGACCGAGATAGGTTGACTTCTCTCTCTCACTCCTCCACCCTCTGCCATCTCCTGCACATACTTTTTCTTACTAACTTCTCAATCTACTAATCTATCCTCCGATCTGACTATGAATCCGGGTCGCCCGCCCTAAAAAACCCAGATTCCTATCTTCACCCGCTCGTTTTCGTGGAGAAATAAGCGAGCGGTGTGAATCTCATTCCCTTTCTTCTTCGTTTCTTCCAGGCATATTCGCGTAGCTCCTGTCTTCTACTGCTCCCAAGCTGGTCCCCCTCTCTCCAAACTAACACCGCCCTCGTGTTCGCCCCGCCTCGAAACCCCAACTCCGACCTTCGGTTTGCATGATTTCGTCATGGATCGGGCGAGCTATAGCTTTCTTACTCCGTCATAGTCATCTCCTCCTGTCGCAGCGCCTCTCCTTCCTCCGTATGTACCTTGCGGTAGATCCTGGTCAGATTCATTTCCCCCCCTTTTTTTTTTTTTTCACTGCCTCCTTTTGCATTCGCCCCGTCGTCATGGCTATTTTCCCTTGCGCCACACCGTGCGCTAACTCCAACAACGCTCCATCCGACTAATATGAGATAGCGGGGCGGAGGTCACAGATGTCGAACTCTGCTAAGGAGTATCCTGTCTCCGAACCGCCTTGCCCGACAGCGCACGGTACCAAGGCACACGACACACATTTGGCTGTTTGGGCCAGCCCGACGCTACAACGTTCAGGAGGACACGGCCCGCTACTATGTCCACCGGCTTCAGCCGAGGACCGCTGCAGCCTAGTGTTGTCCTATTCCCCGGGCACACCCTACGTCGAAGCCTCTCACATCAGATCACGGTCGGCGGGCGGGGCACCCGCAGTAGGGCTCTTGCCCCTCTGGTTTTCTTTCGCCTCATGAGCTAACCACCCATTGGCTCACATGCACGTTGACACTCTCGGCCCACGTCTTAAGACTGTGGGATCAAGGTCCCTCACCAGCATTTCGAACACACAAAAATCCGAACGGGTTCGTCAAAAGAGGCACATACTCAAGGTCCTCGGCTCGCGACGGTCTTAACAATCCTACGTCACGTCCGAGTCGGGGAGCACCAGAGAAAAATAATAGTAATTCAACAATAAAATAATAAAAAAAATATTTAGATACTTTAAATCGTCAGAATATGCCAAACGAGGAAAAAGAACCCGCTAGCACGGCTCTGACACCACCGACGGCAAAACCAAGGGGGATAGCCCGTCTGGCCCTCAACCCCTCGGTCCCCTTTGCGCTGCTCTGATATCCCCACGTAGTCGCCGCTTAATCTGGATCCTTGAATCTCTTTGATGAAAGCCCAATGACGTAACCAATAGTACTAGACCCAAGGCTAGGTCTAGTATAGTCGGACACCTATATAAATGACTACCGCGCGACGCGAGGATCCATAGAAGAATTTTCAAAAAGTTATTTCTTATTGACGCCGTCCTCCATACGTACGCACAAGTCACTGGAAAGCACCTCAATCAGGAGACAAAATCTTTTTAATCCTAGTTTAATCAGAAAATAAACAATTTCAAACCGACGATTACACCAGCCCTTCAGTCATCAGAAAAAATAAAATCACGCAAGCCTCAAGCCTGCACGCCCACACACTCTTTACTCTAGTCAACCATACAGTCAACGTAAACTGCAGACGCAGCCGCACCTCGCGCGGTATATTTAAACTTTCACCCAAACTTATCTTCTGTCGCTTGCGAAAACCAGGGCGGATACCCTTGTAAGGGTATTCGCACCGACACCACGTACTTCTCTCCTCCCCTGCCATTGCCAACTGCTGGGCCTTCTTCTACCAACTCGTCTCTTTGCCTGATCCTACTTTGTCTGCTTCTTGCTCTCTCTCTCTCTCTCTCTCTCTCTCTCTCTCTCTCTCTCTCTCTCTCTCTCGCTCTCGCTCTATCCCCCTTCCCTTCAAAATCGTGTGTCCTTTGACCTTCCCACAGACTGCTTTCTGTCACCACCCCCGATGAGTCCGTTTCCCGCTTGAACCTGTCTTCCTGCCTCTACCAAACGTATGAAGCGATCAATTTTTTTCCCGAGCAAGGAACAAGGCAAGTGAAAAAAATCGTAAGAGTATTTAGTATCAGTTCCTAAGCATGATTTTCATCAGGCATATATCCCCTGATGATGCCTTCACTGGCGGAAGGCTGAAACGCGGCGTAGGGACGCCGCCAGAGGGCTCTGCGCCAACCATCGCGACTGAGACTGCAGTGGTTGTAATATCTTTCCCACGGCGGGATGTTGCAGACCTTCCTCGGGTCGATGAACAGTTGAACGGGGAGCTCCTTCTCCACGATCTCACCGTCATCGTTCCGCTCGTATTCGAGTCAGAACGCTGTCGCTTCCTCGTACTGCGTACCGACAGCCTGTTCGCCACCGCCCGCCGACTCAGCAGTCTGGCCATCGCCTTCTTCAGCTGCCAGTTTCCTTTTGGATTTCTCCGAAGGTTCTCTCGCGGCGGCAACGCCTGGATGAGCCGAATCTCCTCCACCCATAGCTTGTCCTTCGCGGATGGTCAAACCGTCGGGCCTCCTCGCTTTCTTACTTGCCGTTGCACCCTCTTCCTTCGACAGCCTCTTTTCGACTCCTTGTTCTTGTCCGCTACGCAGGCGTCATCTTTCCCGAGGCACGTTCTCCGACGGCACCTTCATCCCCGCCAATCATCTGCTCCGAGTGCCCTTTCATCCTCTTCATGTGGCGGGTTTCTTCCGCCACCTCTTCTCGCACCATCCTCTGTCGCTCGCGCTTCTTTTCCGAAGAAGTTGGCTCCCGGCAAGAGCTGTCGCGGACTGCGTCCATCCCTTCAGCCTCATTCCCTCCAACCTCTTGCCCCGATCTGCCGGATTCTCTTCTCGTCTCATCTCGAAGCGAATACGTGTCGCCCTGGCAGAAGACCTTGAGGATTTTCGGAGTACCGACCCGGAGAGTCCCTGCATCTGGAGAATGCAAGTCTGACATGTTCCCAGGAGCATCCGGGTCGACCTGCGTCTGAATGCTGCGCGCGTGCCCCTTGCCCTGACCCCCAGCATCGTGAATCGCACTCCCGTGTCTCACTGGCGTCTCAGGGGTTTCTTGACCCAAGCCGGACGACCCCTCATGGGCTGGCAGAAGCCGGAAAACGTATTCTCGCGGAAGAACTGGACGTTCTTTCGGCACCATCAGCGCGAGATCGAGATATTCCACTGGCGGTGGAAGACGCTTGCTGTAACCATCGTAAAGCCCTTTGAAGTGAGGGCACAGAGGCATGTTTGAGCCGTACCCCGCGAAACTCTTGATGGGCACTATCACACCCTTAACACCTCTGTAAGGCAGTCTGCACTGGTCGTACAATACGTTAGTGTGCAGCTTGAACAAGCCTCCAGAAATCTTAAAGAACGAGACGATGGTACCGAGAGGAAGAACGTTGTCCGATCCCTCAGCGTCTAGAACGCAAGTGGGTCGCATGAAAACAGCTAGCCCAACAAGGTTCCCCTGAACAACGAAGTCCAAAAACCATTGTGCATCCCTTGTATGGAAATACGGAGGAGTAGATTGTTGAAGAGGTCGTCCCTCCCCGGGTGCAGATGGCCCAACGCTTGTGGATGTGTTCTTCGCGGACGCCATTGTACTCCCACCCGTTGACTAATACGCCCAACCTCAGACCAAATCAGATGACCGGGAGGAAAGCAACGAGGTTTTACTAACACTACAGAAGCAAAGTGCGAACTAACTCAGACTTGACGAAATGGAGGACGAAAATGACAACACTCCTCTGGCAGAGTGAGTTCGGAGGGAAGACAACAGCTCCTCGGAAAGAGTGCGAACGAACTCGCTGTCCTATAAACGAGGAGGAGGTGGTTTATCTTCAGGAAAGTGCGAACTAACTCGGAGTTCTCGGAAGGAAGTCGTCTACAACAAGTACCGCATGGGTATCGACAAGCGGGAACCGACTCGCAATTCTGGGGGAAAGTCACGTTTAAGAAAAGGCCGCTTATCTTGGGAAAAGTGCGAACTAACTCGGAGTTCCGGAAATGAAGACTTGAAAGACGCACGACATGGGCGTCTACAAGTGCGAACTGACTCCGAGTTCCGGAGACGGAGGGTAACAACTCCTCCAACAATGTTGGTCATAAAGTGCGAACTAACTCGCAGTTGTGGAAATAAAGAACTGACTAAAACGAAAAGGTGTCTAATCTTGGGAAAATTGCGAATTAACTCGCAGTTGTGACTCCTCCAGCAGTGTAGGTCGCAAACTGCGAACTGACTCGCAGTTGTGGATCACTTCTGACCTCGCTGGGATGGATGAACAAAACTGCGAATTGATTCGGTCTTCTAGGAGCGGCACTGACGAGTATGTATATATATATATATATATATATATATATGTCAGGTCGGCGACGTCACAAGGGACAGGTAAGCGAAAATCAGGAATTGATTTGGTGTTCAACAAAACCTGGGTATTGATTCGGGGTTCACCATGCGCAGTGACGACTATAAGTTGCGAAGGGAATCGAGCAACTTTATATAAACGTTATCATGGCTATGGCGAAAGGTAATCGAGCTACGAAACGCGGATCGACTATGGCGGACGGAGGTGGAGGGTGAAGAAAAAACATCAGAACATGTCCGCTGGCGAAACAACAAAATCGGGAATTGATTCGGGGTTCAACATGAGGCAACTGCGGCGTTATATCCTGCAGGTAGAGACCGGGCATCTAGGAATCTGTTCGGACATCGGACATAGAATAGGACAACTGAAGTTACAGAATCTTACCTTCGTCGTGCGTTGAGCGAGCGACCAACGTCGGACGGATATAGATGTACGACCACCGAACCAGCACTAGGAGTTGTTTTTTTAGTACTAGCTGAACGTAAAGTAATGGCTTCTATGCAGCGTAGAAAAGGTCCGAATGTGGTAGGATTGTTTGGGTTATTACAACCTTTAGCAGATGGTTTGAAATTAATGATAAAAGTTGAACTTCGTACATATGAAGTGTTAATAAAAGGTAAAGCAAATAGTGAAACAAAGACAAGACCTATTGCAGCAACACCTCCTAATTTATTCGGTATACTACGAAGAATTGCATAAATAGGTAAAAAATACCATTCTGGCACTATGTGAGCTGGAGTTGACATAGGATTTGCAGGTATATAATTGTCAGGATGTCCCAATACGTTAGGTGCAAGTCAACCATCAAACAAAATATAAGATATAACCGAATTTTAAAAAACAAACCATCTCATTTAGAAGTTAATTATCAAACATTGATGGCTGTTTTGTTATATGAACCTCAACAAATTCAATTTCCATACCATATAGATTTAGATGTTTTGAATTAAAGGCAACCAACCGTCAGGTCAGGTGGCCAATAAGACACTAACCCCAACTGGCGTATTAGCATGAAATCAATCATGCTCTCCTCTTTCGAGTCAGTCGTTACGGGGTCTATGAAGGCGCTCGCGTTCATTGAATTGCTTTCTTTTCTACATACAATCCACCGACTTCCCACGGTATTGCCATGGTTCTTTGTTTGTATAAATAAGAACTAACGGTTCCACCGTTATGAGCCAGTTTTTCTATAAGCGCTCACGCGCCTATGGGGCAAAAGGCATGGGTTTCTAGCACGTATAACCATAACGCCAGAAACTAAAGCGATGCTTGAAAAAATAGAAAAAAGTATCATTGTAGTGATTAATCTTTCTCTAGCTAGCGAGCCTACGGCCTTTGCTTTTTTCCGAGTATATTAGATTGCTTTGGTTTTGAGAGATCGATCATCAAAAGCTCCGTAAAAAAAAAAGAGAATTCATAATGGCTTTTAGTCCACTAGAACAATTTGCTATTATTCCATTGATTCCTTTTCATATAGGAAACTTGTATCTTTCTTTTACTAATTCATCTTTGTTTATGCTACTCACTATTAGTTTAGTTTTGCTTTTATTTCATTTTGTCACCATGAATGGAGGTCATTTAGTACCCAATGCTTGGCAATCTTTTGTTGAAATGATTTATGAATTCGTTCTAAACTTAGTCAATGAACAAATAAGTGGTGTACCAGCAGTTAAACAACGATTTTTTCCTTTCATCTTTGTCACTTTTACTTTTTTGTTAGTTTGTAATCTTATTGGCATGATTCGAGCTTCCTCGATAATCATTTTCAATACTGAATTCATTATCCGTAAATTAACATACATGAACGGATGGAGAGGGATTCGAACCCCCGATATTTTGTAATATGTCAGTTTTCAAGACTGATACCTTCAACCACTCAGACATCCATCCAAAGCAAAGACGCCCCTTGTACCTTTCTTTCCACTCCATCAAACATATCGCCAGTGAAGATAAGATCCGGGCCGGGTTTTTTCCCATCTACTACAAATCAAATCGCATCTTACTTAGTAGACGGTTGCCTCTTAGTCTTTGAGTGAAGATAGGGAGACTTTACGTTCACCCAGAAGAGCCTGAGTCAATCAATTCAATATGTAAATAGCGGATATAGATTAAAGGTAAATTGTCTGCCTTCCAAGCAGGGGATATGGGTTCGATTCCCGTTATCCGCAATTGCGATTTGATGAAAAAAAAACTGAGATAAATAAAATGCGCGTATCAAAATTTAAAACTTGTCGACAAATCTTGAAAAATGTTTGGCAAACAAAAAACTTACTCAAAAACAAAAAAAAAAATTTTCGAAGTAGAAGAAATGTTAACAAACAATCGTATTTGGAAACAACGACTTGTAGATATTGGTACTGTTACTGCACAACAGGCTATGGATTGGGGATTTAGTGGTGTAATGTTAAGAGGTTCAGGGGTTTCCTGGGATTTGCGAAAAGCAGCACCCTACGATGTTTATGGCCTCCAAACGTTCGATTTCATGGTCGCATCTGCAAACGAGAATTTGGAACCCAGATACTTTGCTCCCCTTCATTGTGGTTGACCGAGGGTCCACAGGAGACTACCATCCAGCTATATCGGGAAAACATTCATTTACATTACTTGGATGGATCAATCCCAAGGGAAGTCCTGTGTTGATTTGATAAATATTAGCAAGAGGATCCCTTAGAGTACGAAGAGCGAACCGGCTACGGCGAATGGAAATCTAGCCATGAAGAGCGAGCTACAGAGAGCGAACCGAACACAATGCGCCAATTGCGGACGGAGCGAAGAGCGAACGGTCTATGGCGGAAGGAGGTGGGGGGTGAACACAAAATATCAGAACGCACGCGGAAGCGATAGCGCGACTTGACCTGTGGAGCGGCAACAAAAGGGATAACACAAGGGCGACAGCGCCTCTTATACTTTCCTGCAGCAGGCCTCGCGTCGGGATCAAGGTGGGGCCGTATTGATTCGCATATCGCACGCCTGGGCCCATAAGACGCCAGGGCCTATAAACGGGCAAGGGCAGCTTGGGCCTCGAAAGGTCAGAGGTACCGGAAATTGTCGACCGTCGATCAGCAATTTTCAACGGCGCTGAACGGAGGCACTGACATGCCATAGGCCCCAAAATCTCCGTCAACTTCGGCGTGCAATGATATGACAGTTCCAGAAAACAAGGGGCAGGCAAGGCCATTTTCGGAGTTGTAGTCTGGACTGTCGATCGGCATGATCCAAAGCACGAGGTCAGGTGCAGGAATCTGGCGAGGCGGTTCGTTGAGCGCCGAGGCCAGGCGACAGTTCATTGCGCGCCGAGGCACGGCGATTCGTTGTGCGCCGAGGTCAACACCGAAAACCTATAAGTTCCGGTCTCGCAGTCATTGGGACATTTTGCAAATGTCAACGACGTTGGATATACGAAGTCCGCAATCCATTCCAACGCTCGCCATGCACCATCGCCATCGATGCGCTTAGCTCAACGTCATCGCGACGCAAAGCTATATCCCCCATCGCAGCCATCGCGCTCGCCTGACCATCGCAGCGCTGACAATCGCTATCGCTCCCATTGCAGCGTTGGCCATCGCTATCGCTGTCATCGCAACGTTGACCATTGTAACCCATTCCATCACTGCGGCATCTCTCTCATCGTTACGCCATCTCTCTCCATCGGTGCGCCATCACTCTCCACCGCAGCGCTGGCCATCGCTATCTAAGCCCTGGCCAGTGTTATCCCATCGCAGCGCTGGCCATCCCTATCGCTGATTCGTTGGGCCATCATCGCAGCGCTGGCCATTGTAACCCGTTCCATCGCTGCGCCATCTCTCTCATCGTTACACCATCTCTCTCCATCGGTGCGCCATCGCTCTCCACCGCAGAGCTGGCCATCGCTATCGAAGCCTTGACCAGTGTTATCCCATCGCAGCGCTGGCCATCGCTATCGCTGATTCGTTGGGCCATCTGCTGCGCGATCTCTCTCCATCGCTGCGCCATCTCTCTCCATCGCTGCGCCATCTATCTCCATCGCCGCACCTTCTCTTTCCATCGTTGCGCCATCTTTCTCCAACACGGACTCTCTCCATCACTGCACCATCTATCTCCATCGCTCCTGCGCGAACTCTTCTCCATCGCCATCTCTCTCCATTGCTAATCGCGGACTCTCTCTGTCGCTGCGCCATCTCTCTCCATCGCGCCTTCGCGATCTCTTCTCCATCGCTGCGCGATTTCTCTTCATCGCTCCTGGGCGATCTCTCTCCATCGTCGCACGATTTTCCTCCATCGCCGAGTGATCACTCTCCATCTCACTCCATCACTGCGCGATCTCTCTCAACC